AACACGTATAATAATATAAGAATTCTAATATGTATGTTTATATAGTTCAATTGTTCTAGTCTAGACAGTGTCTGGAACCAACTTAGGCTGGGTTGCACCTAACCATAACAAACGTCAAAAGGCTGTCAAACTCCATACAAAAAACTCCGGTTATGGTTACAGTTATGGTTAAAGTAAAGTGGTGGAACTCAGCCTTAGGTACAAACAAGCAAATCTTTTCTTCTTCACAATATAAATGACATATTTAAAATTTGCTTCACTTTATTCAAGCAATTGCGAAACTTTATAATTTATTACTGTGCAACAACACTTAAACATCTTACGTTGCGTAAAGTCGCATAAAGAATAGTAGAAAGTACAGTCAACGGCACTAGGCTCTACATTTATGTTGCAAAATAACTCTAATTACCATTGCAATAAGACACCACAGAGTTTAGCTTGATCAGCTATCAAGAGTCAAGAATTCTTCCGTGCCTAGATTTACATACGATAAAACACTGTTTATATGTTAGCAATTTAATCTATCTGATGCAATCAAAACACTTACCGTTATAAGTATCCTGCTCACGCTTGACCACACAAGTTACTGTTATTCTCGTTTTTATAATCACAGACGTGCAGTATGTTTTCAATCCGCCGTTGTACTGTAGCATAAACAGTACGTTCTCAGCTATACACCTATCTACGTAAGATATCGTCCGCTGCCAAAGATCGGGCAACGTTGCGATAGGTTAGGCCCGAAAGATTGATCTATTTTAAAAATAGATCAATTCAGGACTGATTTTTATTTAAAAAAAAACAACCGCCTGTATGTTTGGTACTAATTAAAAAAGTTTATTAAATTAATTGGCACAAGGCACAACCTTAGTTGAAAACAAAACTCTTAAGAGGATTTTTCATCTACTTTCCATGTTTATGATTGATTTAATTAAAGAAAAGTTAAAATTTGCATCAAGCTACACACATAGCACGTCGAATTAGAATCAGAAAGGTAGTTAATATCATTAAATGGCGATTTAGCAGAGTACTTACATTATTAAGTAATTGTTCTGACTATCATACCAAATACCTAGTCCTTAAGTAGGTAGAGCGTGTACTATGGTACCTAGATAACGAATAAATAAACATAGATACTCGTACCTACTTATAAATCACTAACATGTTGTTAGAACCATATATTTTGATACTTATTTATTTAACCAAAAAATATTAATCAAGGAGGAAACGGAAGAAATATTTTATTATTATTTTTTATTATAGAAACATACAGTCTTATTTGATACATACATGATAGATAGATGATATTACAACAAACAAATTATAACTTCTTAAACTATTTTAAACGGCAATAGACATTTATATTAAATCAATGAACTCGTTTTAAAGGAAAGAGTTAACTTTTAAGAAAGCTCAGAGTAGAAAGAGGCTAATCTAAGAAAATTCATTGTACTTAAAGAAAAAAAATTGTTTCGTAGGTGCTCTATCTCTCCTACCACATGAATAAAATCAATATTCTAGTTTATTCTAGGTCATTGGCTAGCGATTGTTGTAAACAATGATATCTCTACGTTAGAAATTGAGTTAGTTTAATGCCTTTTGTTATCTTTAACACGTCACTTTTATCAATCGGCTTAGATTTTATTTACGAAAATGTTCTAAACCACAAGTTTTATTGTGCCGTAGTTTTTAAGAAAACTACTGGAATATTGAAACAATTTTCTATCTTTTTAAATAATTAATTACCGAAGCAATAACAAGGTAAACAATAATAAAATAAAAGACACGAAATAACTATAGTAACTTTAACTATAGTAAATCTGGTACCATAAGCTGGAGCATTTTTATAATAATTCGCATTAATAAGTATGCTTATTTTTAACCGACTTCAAAAAAGAAGGAGATTATATGTTCGGCTGTGTTTTTTATTAAACTTATAAAATGGGTGACATGACTACACCAGAATTCACATTTTTATTGTAAATTGTATTTTTGGCACATAGTTTATGTATAACATGAATATGTCGATAGGCTCCACTATGAAGCTAATATATTTTGGGAAATAGCATGTTTACTACTATCTGAATGCGCACATCCTATTCTTTTTAAATTGTCATTGTTGTTCAGCATGACGTCACACGCGAAATCTTATCATGGTGTCAACTAGTTGGTGATTAAATGCTGCAAATTATAAACACCCATCACGTGCTTTTCACAGAAAAAAGATAATTTCATTGAGCTCATACATTTTGAGTTAATTATTGTTCAAAGTACAAAATATGAATCATATGGTTTGAACTTTCGGATTTCACGAAAACATTGTACTGATTGTGGTTCAATGTAAAGTTCTGTTTATCTTTTTGTTTGTAGTGCACACAGTTGAATGAAAATAGAAAAGGTTTTCCGTTTTTTAAAAGGAATCCGTCGTTTAATGCTTGAGTAGGGTGGTGGACGTAAACAGGTGACATGACCCTATCTTGAGTATAATCTTGGTGAAAAAGCAACCTTCCAAAAGGGTTCTGGTACATTTGTGCGAAAAGTCAGCCATTTGCGCTCGCGCGAAAATACAGCGCGAAAAGGCACGATTAATGTCGTTTACTCATAATATTATCGTACCAATGTCTTTCGCGCTCGTGGCGTTGCTCTTTTTCTGCCTATGTTGTTTCAATATTTTTATGTTAAGTAGACCTACTTAATATCTATGAATGATATTTATTATACTCTTATTTCTATTGAATAACAGTTGTTCGATAATCCAACTGATCGCAAATAGATTTTCTTTGAAGGTGTCCATACTGACCAAACTGAAGAATGGCGGTTCAGAGGAGAGCGCAACAATAGTATTATTTACCTATAAATAAAATGTACAAAAGGAAGGTGCCCTTTGTGAGTAACTGAGCATTTAAGCAAAATGGTCAAGTGTGTATGCGTTAAATAATTCTGAAAAAAATATTTTACTGTAAAATAGGTAAATACTGGAATTAACCGCCTGTGGTCTTGTGGTAAGACTACCTGTGTAGCAAACACACCACGATTAAAAGGCGATTGGTGGCTTCCTGCTACACCTGGATCAAACCGTAGAAGGCTTGCCGGTAAAAAGGGATCGATGTTCTGTACGAGCAGTACGCAATGACAAAATACTATGCACTCACGTACCTTGAGCAGATCGTTGACAGTTCCACCTCGAGTATGGGCAGCAGCAGTTGGGAATTCCTTGGGTTTCTAGCACATTTGGGCGTGTAGACGATGAGGTAAGTTGAGATCACATGGGAGGATGACTAGCACACGCGTCGACGGGCCCGTTAGATACGAATAGAAGATGGCGATGTGACCGGTGCGGCCTCCAAAGCGTGACTGCCCTCAAGTTGTCAATAAAAATCCAACTCGAAGGACGGAGCGCATAAGCAGCCTAGTTTGACTGCGTTTTGTCACTACATTGATACTTATGCAGAGACATCGATACCCACGATTATTATGAAAATTAAACGAAAAGTTACGATGACGGAACAACCTGCTTCATACGCAGAGGTCCCGGGTTTGAATCCCAGTGGGGGCATTCTGTTCGGTTTGGTTGGTGGTAGGGCTTGTTCTATGTCCGCCTGGCTAGCTACCACCATCTTACCTAAGTCTATCACCATAACAACAATGTTAACAGCATTGTTGTATTCCGGCAGTTAGAGGTAAGATAGCCAGTTCTTCCGTGGTTGAGGATTCCATACTACCATCAGGTGAGATACAGGCCAAGAGCTTCCTCGTTGTGGATAAAAAAAAATTATACCTGTGATTGATTCCTTATCATTTTAAGCAGTCCACAGCTGGATGTATGCCTCCAACCTCCATATTTGGTTTCGTCGTAACTGTGTTAATATGGTACGTCTTCGTAGCCTGGTGGAAAGCTTTTTCGATTTACCAATGGGATACCTGAAAGTTTACAGTCATTTTGTGTATTTGTTTCCAGTTTAGTTAAGACATTTGATCCATGTAAGACGTTTCAATAGACTTATTGATTACTAATAAGTTTAAGTATAATAATGTGTAATGATGAATTTTACAAAATCTTTAAAGCACAAAGACAAAGAATCATCATGTTTTCAGAAGCAACCTCGCTCCATAATTGAGCACATACCAACGCTCTTAGCACCATGAGTAATATAAAAAAAACCTCTTACACACTTCAGTGCTTTATAAATTCTCCTGCAGAACCCCAAAAGACGATGGCCAATACAGCACAGGCCGTAAATATCGCCATTGAGTGACCACACCTGCGCACTCCCACGCACGCACAAAGGGTAAGCCCTCAAAGGAACTAATCTGAATGTACCAGAAAGGAATTAAAGAACAGTGCTGCAACGTTTGGTAAATAGATTCTCTTACGTAGGCCACAACGTGATTTCAGTCTGAGAGATACCTAATCCCCAGATCTCAGTCTATCGTTGATAGTTACCAAATATGAAAGGTTATTAAGAGAATTACAAGTAATTACTGTTAGTGAATAATGACAGTTTTAAAGCAGCTTTCTTGTCTAAAAAGGTGAATTATGCATATTTTATGCAAATACACTAAAATCTATATCTATATAAAAGCGAAAGGTCACTGACTCACTCACTCACTCATCAAGAAATCTCAGAAACTACAAGTGCTAGGAGTCTTGGGGGTTCCTTTTAGAACATAGGTGCTCACTAAGAGGGGATTTTCCAAAATTCAACCCCTAAGAGGGTAAAACAAGGATTGTACGCGTACGAAGTCGACTGCTAATTAAGAAGAAATGCGAATATTGAAAAATGTTTACAACACAAGTATTTTTACAACTAGACCGCTAATCCAATTTTAATAAGATAAGTAGGTGTGACATTTACAAATATAATATTGAAATCGCTTTAGCAAAGTCCTAGTGACGCGTAGGTACAAAAAAATCGACCGACTGCGATTCCGGAATTAAGACACATCTAGGTATCATGTTACTAATTTTATTGTCCAAAGGGCTGTCCTCAGACTAAGCTGTCCTCACGTGAGATCTCTGTCACCCTTAGGTAGTTTTTAGAGGTAGCCTGGCTCCCTTATTCCGAATTCGTGTGGGTCTAGACAAAGTGCACATTATAATCGCAAACCAGTCGAAAAGTGGTCGAAAAGCCTTTTTTAGTATGGCGTTTTGACGGATTCGATTTTCGATTCGATCAAAAAGTGCATTGATTTGTCTAGATCCACTGAAATTAAGACACACCTAGATATTATGTTTAATATTACTTATCCAAAGGGTTGTCCTCACGCTCGCTCGTTAGGTAGGTAGAAATGAGTTGATGATACGGGTCACAAGTGTAGTGAGTAATAATATCTGTTATCTCTAGATATCTTTGGAATCAGAATAAAATAAAAATCATACCTATATTTAGCCAACAAGTCAAAAGACATCAACGAGTTCTCAATAATGACCTAATACATACAGTTTTTTTATATCAAGAAATATCGTAAAGAACGTGATACCCAAAGGATTTTAAATGAATCTTTTACTGGCCATTGGTTCTTTTTTCACACCCAGGCCCATAGTGGCAATTGATTTTGTATTAATTATGTAATTTTCTTTTAATAAGGTTACCATTTAACTAAACTACTTCCAGCATTGTATATTGTTTACAATATTTCTAAAACCCTTGTTTGACCTTTAAATACCTATATTACAGTTAAGCAACGTACAATGTCATTAAAATCCTCTCTCAAATTCGGGGCCCTTATTCTCCAAGGGGCAATAATTTATCTTGATATAGTATCTAAACTATAATACGGGACAACTTTTACTTAATCATATTTCAGCTGGATAACCCGTAGATAAGATAACTTGCAAGTTAAGAACTACCTACAATGAAGTTTTGCTTTTATGCTATTAACTGCATAATGTTCTATTATGAACCTTGTATAAAATGTGCAATGAACTATTTTATCTTAAATAAACGTAATAATACTTGTGACAGAACTTTTGATGCCAGGATTAGCCGACTAAAATGGTTCTTATGTTTAGTCGGATAAAACTCAGAATAGAGGTATTTGGTGTGGGTGTATCTTTGCATGGCCATCCTACGGGAGTATATAAGGCGAGATCCAGGTGAGTTCGCTCATTATCGTCCAGCTGGTGGGTGATACATGTCCTGGATCAGAAGGCAGTGATATGAACACGGTGCGCTGCAGGTGAGTGATAGTTTTTTCAATATATTGTTTAAAACTTTCGTGGTTCATTATGGTAAATTAAAGTACAGGGTAGCAATCCCGTCAATAATAATGAGTTTAGTTTTTTCAGTTTTAATGAACTGGTTTTGAAATTATGTGGACTTTTGTGCGATTCTTGAGTGATTCAGCTGTAGTTTTTTTCGTATTTAAATGTAGAAATAAAACATGAAGTAATTTAAGTAAATCAACCGGTGCTTCTAATTAAAATTTAAATAGTTTATCGTCCAGAAACAATTTCATATGTGAATTTATTTATAGAAATATTTAACAAACCAGTACCTACTCATTAAAAATAATTAGTAGTGGTATTGGGCGAGTCATGTAGTGATATTAAACTAGTTGCTAACTTCTTAACTTTTTCCAATTATTAGACACGATTAACTTGAAATAAAACACAAGACAAAATGAACAGGATACGGAACCTCTTCAGTTTGCTTTCAGTATTTTGCAAAAATCACGAGTGTACTACGTCGCCGTTGTAAGGAAAACAATACAGTGTAAAAACTAAGTGACGAATGTTGCTTTTTAGTATGTGTTGACGTACCTAATTATAAATATTATGAGCTAAGTATCTCTGCACTTGGTATGATGGTGATTGTGATAGGATATTCTTAAAAAGTGTAACGTGTATTAATATTATTACAGAATAGATACATAATTATAATTACAATGTAACAAGATACTTATTTGGCCTTTTGTTCACATAGTCGCTATGCAGTCTTTGCTAATTCTCACTGTTTACTACAAAAGAATAGAGCACATGCAGATAAATAGGTAGGTATAGTTTAAACTTTATAGTCAAGAAAAGTAAATTAGAGAAATGCGAAAAAAATACCATGACTAAGAGCAACATGGTAGCGCGGAAAGCTCGATTTTCAATTTTGGAAAATTTATAATTTTGGTATGAAAAAAAAATCAAATTACTTGACGAAAAAGTAAAGTCAAAGGTTTTAATTTTCTAAAAACTGCGCGAAACGTAATACTATCTTGACTGCTTATACAAAGTGATCAGTCGATAAGTGGTGTCAACGTCCAATTCCTGCACGTAACAACTTTTACACTAGTGACTGAGACATTAATATTAGATTTAACCGTTAAGAATAAGTAAGAATAAGAAAATCTTTATTCAGCACAACAATGTGACAGACAAAACAAAATTAGACTTACATCTTAAAAAAAAACATAATATGCAGAAGAGGCGCCCGCTCAGCAAAAATCGCGACATGACACAAACGTCATGCCGAGAAGCTGGTTTTCAACGGAAACCAACGCGTGATGACGATAGCGCACCCTACTGCCACAGTAGATAAATCAAACAGTACGGAAGCTTCATACAAACGCTCGAAATCAGACTCACGCACACAGACGCACGCTTTACACGAGCTCTAAGCGAACCTCGCAGCACAACTCGCAGTCCATCCGTCGCGAGTGTCGCGCGCGTTGTGTTTTTAATAATAATTTTATTGCAAGCACTGTCCGCTGTATTTTTAAAAACATGCCACAAGTGTATTGCGTAGTATACGGCTGCTTGAACTCGGCATCTTCAAAACCAGAACTTTCATTTTTTTTGATAAAGTTATTTGCTCCGCACGCTTTTGTACTAAGTGATGAACTGTATTTAAAATAAGGCAATAGCTATGTGAAAGTAAGTATCCGGTATTTTATTTATGAGAATAGAATATCTTCTACCGGCCTCTAATAGTACTTTTAATCAATTTATTCGATTATGTATTCGATTTTTATAGAGCCTCATTAACGTTTTATTTTTTTGTTAACTACTTAGTTAATTAATTTATTCCATTAGGTATTTGATAATTAAAAAACCTAAATAAACGTTTTAATAAATAAGTAAGTCAGAACCTTATTAATTTTATAAAGATTAAGAGTGCCAACCCTAACACTCAGTTGAAGTGTAGGTATTTAACTCGCCGAAAGGGCTAAGTTTCCGTACTGCTTTAGCTCATATATCTACTGTGCTACTGCCGTATCCTCATTGAGTCATTAAATAAATGACGTCACACAATATCGAAATCATCGTGCGTAACCAGCTTTACAATACTATGAAGTGGGTGCATATTGCCTACCGCCGTCTGGTCGGCCAAGTAAGTGTTTTATTGTGTTTCTACAATCGGCCGCTTATGAAGAGATAGCCGATAACGCGAATGGCACCTCAATCACAGATATCGTGTCATATAATTTATCTTGGACACCATAAGCGAGAAGTCATTAGCGCCGGTTTAATGGCTGCAGTAAATACACTATTGGGGGTGATAAGAGGTGGTTGAGTTTTCCGACGAATACTCGTGATGCATTTCATTGTAGTCATCCGTAGTGCTTTTTTCATATAATTTGCCTAGTTACAAGTTTTGATAAAAATAACTAACCGTACCGATAAACTTTTAATGAATGCTTTACTAAGTAGATTAGCTATATGATAAAAACTATAGTGGGGATAGTCATTCTATTTCGACCGCGAGGTAGCTAAAAATGATTGGTAAATATGTTGGTTTTGAAATAAAAATTTAAGAAATATTTGTTTTTATTTAATTAGTTTTTATCATTAGTAATTTTTAAATTTTAGTTTTTAAGTAATTTTAAGTTAATGTATTATTATAAAATCTACTTAAATAAAAAGTTAATGGTAAAGAAATATTTGTTATAAAATAAATTTTAATCAGCGTCGATTAACAAAAAATCTAATAGATCGCTACCGCGTACTACGACGCGCAACGTAACTCGTAGCACTTCGCTACGATGCTACGCATTTTTGGACCCCGCGACCGCATTCGTGTTCCGTAGAATCTACGTAGCACGTAAAATTTACAATTTTTAATTACGATTTCAAAAAAATTAACTTGAATATTTTTTTTTTAAATAAGTATTCCAAAAGGTTCCAAAGGGAAAAAGGTCCAAAAGGGATCATTTACAGATCCTTTGAATAACATTTTCCTATAAAACATCTCGTTTTTTCTTAATTCCACGTTTCTGTTTGGACTATGCTTTTGGATTTTAATTACATTTATTTCTAGCCTAACCAAACTGATAGTTTCTAAAATTACGACCATAACACAAGATGAGCTTAGGCACGTAATATTTTGCTCTGCCATTTTTATGTCCTGCAGGAAGTAAACTTTATTAATAACAAATAGTCAAACAAATCAAGATATTATACAGAGTGACAGTAACCGCGTAATTAACCACGTAGCGGCCGAATGCTTAGCCAAAGAAACGCGCCAACTTTACGCACGTACGCATTATGAAGCCATAACTTTTCTGCGGTATATTTAATTAAAGAACTAATAAATGTCATGTAACAAATTTATTAGGGACCCACCGCGGCTAAGTCGCTTAATACGGCTGTAAACACTATTGTAGGTATAACGGCATTTTCACGGCATTTTCATTATGACGTAATTAAGTGCGATAGTTCAAAGATGTTTATTAAAGTCTTAAATCAGAGCAAAACTGATTCATAAGTTTATTAAAATTAAAACTATGCAAGATAATTTTATAGGCTATAATGACGATGAAGCCATGGTGAATAAAATGTAACATTTGTATTGGTTGCGCTTTATTATCGACGATGGTTTCCACTAAGTTATGAAATATTGACGTCATTAACCGGGTCCATGACCAAGGCCAACTATGGATCGGTGATCGAAATATGGCGATTTCAGGATGTCGAGCGACTTAAAACTGGATCAGCCCAGTGCGCATAATGAATCGTTGTGGACTCAGAATTTAATCAGCATCAAATAGTTCATGACTTAAACGACATCGCATTCCTACTAAAAATATTTCAAAATCATGTGGACTCCTCAGAGCTTTTAAGTCGTTTTCATATTAATACCCCCAAAAAAGTTACACGACACTTTAAAATATTGCAGGCACCCTTGACTCGGACCAACTATCGCAAAAATTCGTTTGTAATTAGAGTTCCTGATCGATTTAATTCTGTTTGTGATGACATGGAACTAGACTTGTTCAATACCCCTATCAACCAGTTTAAAACAAAATTTAATAATCTTTTCTTTGTTAGATAGTAGTTTGAACTTCATAAATTAACATCGTTCTCTGTCCGCAATAAAATTAATTAATTGTTTAACTATATGTGGGAACTTTTAATTGGCCTTACTTTAATTATAAACATTACTTAATGTAACACTTAGCTGTAAGTTCTCCAAAAAATTGTAAAATAAAATAAAACACCAAAGGTGGCCAAAAAGTTGACAATACAATCTTATTCAGATGTTTCTTAAACTTTTTGACTAGGTCAGGCGTCAGGAACTATTTGACGCTGACTGGTCATTATAGCATTCCATCTATAAGTGGCATCTCTTTACGTCCTCAGGGGCGTGACGGTAGTGCTGGTGTGCGCACTGGCCATGGCGCTGGTGTCGGCGCAAATCACGTTCAGCCGCGACTGGACGTGCGGCAAGCGCGCGGCGCCGATGGCCATCGACTGCGGCCAGTTCACCAGGCTCTGCCGGCATTTCGTGGTTGGTACGCCGGCTCTAAGGTCCTTAGATCAGCCACAGGACGTCCACTGCTGAACATAGGCCTCCCCCAATGATTTCCACATCGCCCGGTGGTAGCGTCCTGTATCCAGTGCCGTATCGTGCTACATTTATGAGGTTCTTACACACAATGCTTCAAAACATGAGTTGATCAAAGATCTGGACGGGCGGCAAGCGCGCGGCGCCGATGGCCATCGACTGCGGCCAGTTCACCAGGCTGTGCCGGCATTTCGTGGTTGGTACGCCGGCTCTAAGGTCCTTGCAATAAGGCTCAAAACTGCTTCAATCAATGACACTAGATGCGGCAAGCGCGCGGCGCCGCTGGCCATCGACTGCGGCCAGTTCACCAGGCTCTGCCGGCATTTCGTGGTTGGTACGCAGGTTCTAAGGTCCTTACAATCATGATTATTTCAGCTACAGGACGTCCACTGATGAACATAGGCCTCCCCCAATGATATCCACATCGCCCGGTTAGTAGCAGCCTGCATCTAGCGCCTTCCTGCTACCTTTATGAGGTCCTTACATACAATGCTCCAAAGCAGAATTAATGTAGTTAGACATGCACTTCACTTCGCTTCGGTAACCCCTCAATCTGCCTATGCTTGAAAATAAATTGAATTCAAGCTTCGTTCTGATGCACCTAAGAAGCATCTTTCATGCTGGTATAGACAATAGCGCATCAACGTTGTGCGTTGTTGTGATAGCCGCTGTAAAATGTGAAGATTTAATGCTGTTGACGTCACTTCTTAATGAAATAATTCTTCTTCATAAGTAATAACTTTATATGGTAATTGATTTTAGTGAAACGCCAGCTGTGGTACGGTGGTTAGAGTACGATTTTTTAACCAGCGGCGAGCGGTCAGCTGCCAGCAGACTCTTTTAGCTATAGCAAAAAAAAACTCACCAAAATGTCGGCGATTCTTGAAGTCTTCATACGTGCTTAGAAATTAATTAAACAGCGTGTTCTCATTTAACAACGGCTTGTATATTTGGCATTGTTGTCAGCACGAGTTGAAGCAGGCCATGTCGTCGGAGAGCAAGCGGCGCCGCGACGAGGAGCCCTCGCCCGCCTACGACGACGACAACTAGCCGACGACCTCAACTGAACTGAACAACTGCTGACAGCTCATGATGATGAACCTTCACTTCACACTTCACAGAAAGGGTGGGAGGCAGAATGTGCACTTTTTCATATTAATTTAAAGCTGCAGTGCGCATTTTGCGAAGTGCACATTCTGCGACAAACTCGATAGAAAACTTCTACTAACTGTTATTTAATATTCTGTCTTGATGAAAAACACGATCATTTTTAATCCGTAGGAAAAAAACCCATATTTCGGCTGATAGAGCCGTTCGTTCGTTTTTCGTTTTTTTTTTCCAACGACATGCTGTGAACCGATTTTAGTTCTTAAAGTGACTGCAGGGAGCGCTGTACAATTTGTTGTTTTTTTATTTTCATTGTACTTTACGCCGTGTCTCGCTAGTGAACACTTATAACTGGTAATGCTCTATGACGTATAACTACATTATATGGATTACATTCTAGTTTTAAATCGAGACAGCGTATGCGCATATAAGTATGAAATGAGCGGTATAGGCTTCATACTGACACCTTTAAATCTGCTCATGTACTTTCTTTTAAAACGCGAGCCTCGTTCTTGAAGAAAGCGTAAGTTCAAGATTTGAAAACCCCAGAGTAAGATTTATTTCGGAATGTATTACATCAGTAATATCAAATCATTGTAAATACGCTGCAGCAGCAAATTACATAGAATGGAACTAAAATAAATGTTGATAACTCAAAAAATAAAGGCCTGTCTACACAAACTTATGACATGTCATTTTTGAAGCCAACGGTCATTGATTCTAAATTCTGTACTTTCTTACTGAAATTCTTTATGAATAAACACAATATTTAACGACTAATTTACACTTCCCACTGTCATTTCTAGTCATGTAACCAAAGTATTACTTAATTTCCTTAGATAGGTGTATTTAATGAATTTAGAGTAAGTTTAGCCTAAGTGAGTTACTATAGGAATGCGCGACAAACTTGTGACTACCCCAAATTGTTGATCGATATTGTGAATACGGCTTAGCATAGAAATAAGGACAGATATTGAATAAAAGCATTTGAAAACCGACTTTGTGTCATTACTTTTAAATAATTAAAAAGCAGTACTTATTTTACTCGATTTGGTGTACATACACATACTTAATGAATTAATAAAAAAATCTCTTTCGATCTATACTGATTTAACAAAACTTCTTGATGATCAAAGTTATTAATAAATTGATCCCCAATAAATAATAAGCAAGTACTTATACTGGTACAATAAATTTTATTTTTTCGTTACCTTTTACAAATTTAGTACATTTTACATTCACTAAGATGACGTCACTGTCGGGAAGGTCTAGCCAATGGCGAAAGAATGGCGCAGTGGTAATATTGACAAAATAAAACAAAATCATACCTTATATTACTTTATTGGAATAAATTGATTTTATGTACAGAAATAATAATATAATATTATTGCAATATTTTACCAATAACCAATTCAAAATGAATTGCAGTCATGTGTACTGTATAGAGAGAATGGGACAACAAAACAATTAAGTATTATAAAATAATACGATACTCCTAGGAAGGTATTTTTATACCTAGACTAGTGCCTTACTCGAATTTTTTAATTACATTACAGTAAAATGATTTAATTTTGTACTTGAATTTTTATGTACTTACCTAATTTGGTCAGTAAGATCGCTTTTACCTTTTAAAATTTTGTTCAAAGGAAATTTAACTTTTGTCATTATCATGAGAGAAAAATTCAAAAGACACTATTTTCGCAATTTTTAAACATAAAAGTGTTAGCTAAAATTAAGTATGTAAAGATAAAACATGATAAAACGCATACACACAACGTAAAATTAAGTAAAAGTTAATTGGTGGTACATGATTAAAATAATTGTTAATTAGTATGACATTAAAATATTAATTAAGAATTCAAAACTTGCATAAAACCTAAAAGTTACATTTAATTAAATTATATTTGTAAGAAATGTAAGCATTACTATAAAGTGATGTTTCTTTAAAAAACATATCAATTCCAATGCTTAAATCAAGACATTAAAATTACATTTTCGTCGTTTTTTTCTATTCGAGTTGTACGTCAAATGTGAATAAAATTTACTCGAATGAAAACAGGATTCAAGATAAAACAAATGTTTTATCAAACTTCTGTACCAATATGTCACTCGGTCGAGTTAACTGCGTACCTGACAGCCGTGACGTCACATAGACGCTCTGGTACGGACGGAGCGAACGGATGAGTGCAATAGGGATGATGACTGGGTAATGAAATCGAAATTCTATTTATGACCGTTTTCACCATCAATCCCTAATTTTTAAGTGACCTCTATGTAAACAAAATTCCTGTTATTTGTTACCATAGGCCACTTAAAAATTAGGAATTGATGGTGAAAACGGGCAATAGTCCGTCAGACAGGTAATAAAAAAAAATTTGACACATATTTTTTATTTTTTTTCACAATCGAATAATTACAGTATTATATTGAGTTGAGATGTTGCGTGACGTCACTTTTGAGTATAAAATCTACTCAAGCTTGACGTAACGCGCCATTTCAACTCGATGTAGCACTGTCAATAAAAAAATATGAAAGAAAATAAAAAATATGACTAATATTTTCTAATTTTCTGTCTGACGGACAAATAATTGAAATTTTGTCATCTAGCCTATTAAGAGTCGCATCCTAGCGAGGTGCGCAGTTAACTCAATCAGGTTGTAGTAAACAATACACTTCGTAAAGTATTAGTCGTCACATTAAAGCTAAAATCAGTCAAACTAACAATAATACAAGCTGCATACACGTTGCAAGCACTATCAATAAAATGGTCCCAATAAAATACAATATAAGTACGGTATTATAATACTAATCGCTATAGATTCGTTAGAAATAAGCACCTGGCTATTAATGACTTTATATTATACAGTCATATTTGAAGTCGTAGTGGAACCAAGAATATTAGTAATTTGTCAGCTTTTACTATGTGATATGCCAGACTATGTTGGCCGATTACTCATACAAGTTAAAAGCAGATAAACTATCGGCCGACTAAAAGTCTGTAGTCTGCGAAGTCTTACACTAGTACACGTTTGTAACTATTTCTGAGATAACAATATACATAACTAACAAACTATCCACAATTTTACACTCAACATGACATCATACCACTCAATCATCATCAGTGGCGCAGCATCTGACATACTCCAGCGCTTTATTCAAGCAATCCAGCCACATGTCTCTATCTTTAGGCGTGTCCGCGGCGAGCAGGTGCCTCCGGACGAGTGAGCCGTCCGGACGCCGGACGTAGACCAGCGAGCCGCTGTCCGGGACGATGAGACCGGCGGGCACGGCGGCTTCCAGCATTATTGTGTTAGGACGAGCGCAAAGGTCTCTGGGCGCCCGGACTACTTTGTCTGACACGATCGTTGATAGGTCGATGTCGCCGATTGGTAGCTGTGGATGGGAGAGTTTTGGTATTACAATACAAATAACAAAGTATAGATGAAAGTCTGAATGATTATTATCATTAATCCATTTATAGGAATGTTATCATCACTTGTTAACACGTGTCGCAATTACGCGTTTCATGCTCGTTAATATGTAAAGGCTATTCTATATCGGAGTTCGGGTTAGAGCTTAAACTTTGGACACTAAGGGCTACAGTGTAGTAACTCGCTATGTAGGGATAGTTTTGTAAGAGCTGCTGTATAGAGACCGTTGTGTAAAGTCTATACTGTTTAGAGACAGTTGTTTAAGGGTTATACTGTGTAAAGACCGCTGTGTAAGGGTGATTTTAATTGTGAAAGGACTGTTGTTTACGTGCTACTGTGTGTAAGGGTTACTATGTAGATCGCGGTGTAAAGGCTCACCTTCTTGGACACGTCGTCAGGATACTTCCAATAAGCCAGCGTGGGCGCACATAGTCTGAACCAGTGGCGGTGCCACGCCCCTAACCCTGATACGTCATCGAAGGCAGTGAGAAAAGCGGCGTGTGGGTGATTTTTAATTGTGAAAGGACTGTTGTTTACGGGCTACTTTGTGTAAGGGTTACTATGTAGATCGCTGTGTAAAGGTCGCTATTAGAGGCTCACCTTCTTAGTAACGTCATCAGGATACTTCCAATAAGCCAGCGTGGGCGCACAGAGTCTGAACCAGCGGCGGTGCCACGCCCCTAGTCCTGATACGTCATCGAAGGCAGTCAGGAAGGCGGCGTGTGGGTGATTTTTAATTATGAAAGGACTGTTGTTTACGTGCTACTGTGTGTTAGGGTTACTATGTAGACCGCTGTGTAAAGGCCGCTATTGGAGGCTCACCTTCTTGGTAACGTCATCAGGATACTTCCAATAAGCCAGCGTGGGCGCACAGAGTCTGAACCAGCGGCGGTGCCACGCCCCTAGCCCCGATACGTCATCGAAGGCAGTGAGGAAGGCGGCGTGAGGCGGCGGCGCGTCCACTCGCACGCGCGCTTTGATGTCTATGTTCACGGAGCCTTCGAGAGGGCTGCCGCAAGGGACCTGGAAACAGTTATGCTATTTTAATTTAATTTTGGACGTTACCATAAGGCAGGGATGGCGAACCTTTTAAGTTTAAACGTGCCACTATTTAAAAAAAAAATTGAAGTAGTCATAGACACGTGCCATTAAATTAACACCTAATGCTATCAAGTGGCACCACTGGTGAGTGACACGACCTTACTCTACAGTGGCACTAACTGATGACGGCAAATACGATAGCTCATAATCAAAACACATTATTTACTACCATCATTGGCACGCGTGCCATTGGTTCGCCAACCCTGCATAAGGCAATTAAGCTCAAAATAATAAACAACATCAGATTATTCTTTTGATCTGACACATTAAAAGCGTCCATTGGAACGGAACGAGGGATTAACGGAGCGAAGTGGCAGACTGTGTCTGTACATAGACGAGGAGCTAGATAGCGGATCAGTCTGCGTTTCTCTATCAGTGGAGCAAGGTCGCAATCATACGAAGAGTCATTCGATTTTTCTTTCATCTCCACTTCTCCGCACTGAAGAGCAGTAGATATTTTATACAGTGGAGAGGCTTAGGCATTATCAGCTTGGGAGTTACACAAGCCAACGTCAGGAGCCTAGAGTAATGCTCTGCGCTCTCAGCTCAGTCATGTTAGTCCGGGCGTCAAGAGCCTAGTCCTCAGCTCAGACATTTTAGTTCGGGCGTCAGGTACCTAGAGTAACGCGCGGCGCTCTCAGCTCAGACATCTTAGTCCGGGCGTCAGGTACCTAGAGTAACGCGCGGCGCTCTCAGCTCAGACATCTTAGTCCGGGCGTCAGGTACCTAGAGTAACGCGCAGCGCTCTCAGCTCAGTCATGTTAGTCCGGGCGTCAAAGCCTAGTAACACGCACCTTATTCAGAGTGAATGTCTTCCTGCTGGCCTGCTGCAGCGCGAAAATGCAGTAGCCGTGCAGCTGGAACTGCGGGCTGCGCACCGACAGCGGCCTCTGGACGCGCGGGGCCTTCAGCTCCGACATGTTAGTCCGGGAGTAAGGCGCCTAGAGTAACGAGGGACGCTCGCAGCTTAGACAGCTTAGTCTGGGCGCCAATAGTCCTCAATTCAGTCATGTTAGTCCGGGCGCCAAGTCTAGTCCTCAGCTGTCATGTTAGTCCAGGCGTCAGAGCCTAGTCCTCAGCTTAGACATATTAGTCCGGGCGTCAAAGCCTAGTAACACGTACCTTGTTGAGCTTGAAGGTCTATCTTAGTCCGGGCGTCAAAGCCTAGTAACACGCACCTTATTGAGCGTGAAGGTCTTCCTGCTGGCCTGCTGCAGCGCGAAAATGCAGTAGCCGTGCAGCTGGAACTGCGGGCTGCGCACTGACAGCGGCCCGGCCGGGCTCTGCACACGCGGGGCCTTTAGTTCTGACACCTTGGATTTGGGCGTGAGGAGCTTGGAGTTCGACTGGAAAAATATTAAAAGTATAAATTAAAAAAGATAAAAGTAAAATGTAATATGTACGAACTTATTTAAGCAGTTAGGAAACTCTTTAATTGGCTTAGATTTAATGCTCCTCAAACAAACATGCATATTGTAAAACAGCTGTTGAGTTTCTAAATAAATAAATAACATCGTCAGATGGAGACTGATTTAAACTGCGAGAGGTCGATTATTTTTAGAAATAAATTTTAGTACAAACCTTTTTGTTATTGATGTGATATTTGACGTCGTGCGGGAGTGATTCTTTGGATGCTTGAAGTAAATACACCTCAACTGTCACCTGTGAAAACACAATGGCATGTATTAAGGGTTATTTTCGCTGTTGTTATAGTCACTTTAGTCTGTCTTTGAATTTTGAAGTAACATCTGTCACATTCGATATAAAAAAAAAATCTGGACTGGGTTGCGTTGTCTCTTGTTTCACTGTCCAGCCTCATGTGGCATCTCTGTAAGGCCCGCCATACACGGACAGCTCGAGCAGTTAGTCAGTGATCAACATACACGGACCACTCTTGTAGTCAAGAGTCATCAGCCTGAAGCTGCCAGTGATAACTGCTCGAGCAGTCGATATTAACTGCCCAACAAATCACAAGCGCGCGCGCCGTGGAATGAAGAAAGTGGGCGGAGGTGACTGCGCGAGAGCTATCGACAGCTCGAGCAGTCAGTGTATGGCTGGCGACTGCTTGACCGCACGATGAAAATTCACCGTGCTGTCGACCGCCCGAATGACCCGAATCAGTTGCAACCACTCAAGCGGTTCGTGCATGTGCGTCCATAGAACTCTGCAGTTCACTGTGCAGTCGCAGCTTGAAGCTGTCGACCCTGACTGCTTCAAGCGGTCCGTGTATTGCCGGCATCAGGTTAGCGAAATCTAGGAAAACGACATTTTTATACCAGTGTGACGCGGTACACCGTTTGTGGGACACTGGCTTAGGGGGCGCCTATTAACCGATTGAGTCCCAGACGGCATTAATTAATGTCATAACAATTGATTATCTATTGTGTCTAGATTAGAGATGAAACGGATAGTAGTTTGGCCGGATATCGGATACCGGATATCCGGCCAGCCGCTAGGCCGGATAGCCGGATATCCGGCGGCCGGATAGTTGGCTCATTGTCTCGTTGCATGTTCTGTTGAGTTTAGCGCCGCACAGGTGCTTCGAACGCGATCAGTGAGTCTATTAGTAGACTAGACTAGTCACACTTCGAAAACCGTTCGAATAGAATGTTACATTTTGCCACTTGTCTTGGGGGCAGATCAATTCGGGCTATTTCAGTTGCCATCGTGAGTGTGGATTGAATAGCGAAAATTAGTTTACTTGCTGCGTAATCTGACTGAACTGCATTATGTAATCAGACCATCAGTGAAAAAAATATCGCCTATTTTATTTGGCAATATTTCGACATTAACAGATATTTACTACTAGCTTTCCGCCCGCGGCTTCGCCCGCGTGGAATTTTGTCTGTCACAGAAAAACTATATCGCGCGCGTCCTTGTTTCAAAAACCGGGATAAAAACTATCCTATGTCCTTTCCCGGGACTCGAACTATGTCCCTGCCAAATTTCATCAAAATCGGTTCAGTGGTTTAGGCGTGAAAGAGAGACAGACAGACAGACAGACAGACAGAGTTACTTACGCATTTATAATATTAGTATAGATAGTATAGATATATGTATTCGTCATTAGAGTGAATAGCCCCGAAAAAGAAATTGGTTTTTTGAAAGGCCTTAATATGGCTTTTTAGGGTTCCGTACCTCATAAAGAAAAAACGGAACCCTTATAGGATCACTTTGTTGTCCGTCCGTCCGTCTGTCAAGACCCTTTATCTCAAGAACGCGTGAACGTATCAAGCTGAAATTCACATGAAATACTCAGGTCTATTGTCCCTTTAAGCTGTGAAAATATCAAACTTCTAAGCCAAGCCAATCAAAAGATACAGCCGATTATGTCGATATTTTCAACAAATTTTCGACACTCGCAAAGGAATCAAAACCTACAGGATACTTCCCGTAAACTCAGAATCTTGAAATTTGGCATAAAGCATTGTCATATAATGCAAATATAGGAAAAATTGCGAAAATTACATTTTTTTAGTTATATAATATAATAAAAATATTTTAATAAAATGAAACTTACTACCTTATTTCTCACGAACGAATAAAGGTATCAAATTGAAATTTATACCAAATACCTAGATCTATTGTCCCTTTAAGAAGTAAAAAAATCAAACTTCTAAGTTAACGCGATCAAAAGATACAGCAGTTTATACCGACACCTTAGACGAATTTCCGTCACACGCTAGGGAATCAAAACCTACAAGGTACTTCCTGTGAACTCAGAATCTTGAAATTCGGCACGAAGCAACGTTATATAGTACAGATAAAGGAAAAATTGCGAAAATGATAAATTTGAAGTTATATAAAATTTAAAATATTATTTTTGCTTACATGACATAAAATATTTTTTTAATAATTATAAACTTACTACCTACCCTTTTTCACATGAACGCGTAGAGATATTAAAGTTGAAATTCATATCAAACACTTCTTAAATCTAATTGCCTCTAAACTGTGAGAAATTCTAAATCAACGCAAAAATTCAAAACGCTGAGGTAGGTACCTACCTATAATGCAAATATAGGAAAAATAAATAAATAAAAAATTATCATACCGCATATTTTGAAATTCGCCACTACTCGCAACGGAATCAAGTAAGTAATTTGATTTAATACGTCATAAATTTTAAACCGCTACGTTTGTACGGCGGAACCCTCGGTGTGCGAGCCCGACTCGCACTTGGCCGGTTTTTTTGTAACTTTTTGGACTTTTTAAATAAAAGCCGTCATTATTATAAGCCATTTTATTAATATTTACCTCAAAGATTAATGTATTTAATTTTATTAATAGAAAATTGTCGTAGTTTTTAATATCCGGTATCCGGCCGGATAGTAAATTTAGGCCGGATATCCGGCCTACCGGATAGTTACCGGATATCCGTTTCATCTCTAGTCTAGATTCGCGGAGCTTGAAGAATTAATTACATGAGACAATTTTGGCAATTTTTTAACCCCCCCGCCCCCCTTGGTGAGATTTTGCCAGACCCCCTCCCCCACCCCCTAATCTCACGTGAGATTTTCCAAAATGCCTATTTGCAATGTAAATGAGATTTACATGCTTCGAAAATATTAGATTTTATAAAAAAACCCAACCTGCGTAAAAAAATTAACTGAAATGATATTTTTTTTACTTTTTGTACAATTTTTAACTATTAGTTTACATTTTGTTAATATTTAAGAATCGGTAGCACACTGCGGATATAACTGTGTTCAAAAAGGCCGACGGAGGATTAATTTATGACGTATTAAATCAAATTACTTACTTGATTCCGTTGCGAGTAGTGGCGAATTTCAAAATATGCGGTATGATTATTTTTTATTTATTTATTTTTCCTATATTTGCATTATAGGTAGGTACCTACCTCAGCGTTTTGAATTTTTGCGTTGATTTAGAATTTCTCACAGTTTAGAGGCAATTAGATTTAAGAAGTGTTTGATATGAATTTCAACTTTAATATCTCTACGCGTTCATGTGAAAAAGGGTAGGTAGTAAGTTTATAATTATTAAAAAAATATTTTATGTCATGTAAGCAAAAATAATATTTTAAATTTTATATAACTTCAAATTTATCATTTTCGCAATTTTTCCTTTATCTGTACTATATAACGTTGCTTCGTGCCGAATTTCAAGATTCTGAGTTCACAGGAAGTACCTTGTAGGTTTTGATTCCCTAGCGTGTGACGGAAATTCGTCTAAGGTGTCGGTATAAACTGCTGTATCTTTTGATCGCGTTAACTTAGAAGTTTGATTTTTTTACTTCTTAAAGGGACAATAGACCTGAGTATTTCATGTGAATTTCAGCTTGATACGTTCACGCGGAGATGAACAGGCCTTTTTTTTCGTCAGGAAATGCATGAAATTGCATACCCACTGGCCCGGGGGAACCAGTGGGTTATGTAAGGCTCTCCCTGCCAGATGGGCAGGGCCTACTCACTAAAACCTGACGGTGTCCTCCCGAAGTCTTTGGGACGGAGCTGCGAGTTATTGTCCGAGCTAGACGGCCTAGACATTCTTTCGCGGCTCCGCCCCAGGAGATGAACAGGCCTGACACTACTCAGGAATGGTCAGGTCCTTAAGTGTACCTTAAAGTCGCTGGTGAGGTGGTCCATGCGGATCTCGTCGGGGAAGTGCAGCAGCGCGGCGCTGGGCTGCGTGCGCGGCATGCTGCTGGCCAGCACGCGGTCGCGGCACTTGAGGAGGCACACTGCGTGGTGACCCACGGCACCGTCTGTGGGAGATATAGGCGTTATTAATGAGCGGAGATCGGCTCCACTGGGGCCAAGATAGACTTAGACTAAGCCGAGATTGGCTCCACTAAAGCCAAGCTTCTACTGTGACGAAGCTTAGCTCCTCTGAAGCCGAGTAAGGTCTATAGGTAACTAAAGTCAAGCTAGGCTCCACTGAGGCGGAAAGTTCAGTGGACGCGAACTGGGTTCCACTGAAGCCGAGTTTGGGTTAACTGAAGCCACTCCTTCTATTGAGGCGGAGCTTGATTCCACTGAAGCTAAACTGGGCTCCACTGAGGCAAAGAGTTCTTTAAGAACGAACTAGGCTCTAGTGAAGCCGAGCTAGAATAAGCTGAGATCGAGCTGGGCTACAGTGAAGTCAAGCTAGGATCATGAATGAGGATGTGAGTATCATTAATGCAAAATTTTAAAAAACCTTAGCAAGTTAATTAGCTTGTTAAAATTCTGTTTTTTCGATACAATTTTGAAATTCTATGAACTCTCTCATGATCGTAACGGTTCTTTCTGCACCAAAACTAAACCATAAACAAACCTGCGTTGAGCTGTCGCACGTAGTCGCGCCGCAAGGGCACGCTGAGCCCGTGGATGTGCAGCGACGCCATGCCGGCGGTGGCGGCCGGGCCCGCGCCCTCCACTTGTAGCCTTTGGACTTCGTGGAGGCACGCTTGGTAGTGAGCTATGGACCAATATAAACCCTCCACAACACAGGATGACGCTGTGCGAGTCTGCACTATGCCCATGCGGCGAGGAAGTCGAAGAGAGCCGCGATCACGCACTTTGGGAATGTAACCTCTATGACGAAGCTCGACAGAAGACGCTGGATGCGATGCGGAGAGCCGAGCAAGGACCTGTTTATCACCAGGACTTCACGAGTAGTCGCAGTAACTGGATCGCGCTGCGCGAGTTAGCGCACTCCTGGCACACAATCAGGCGAAGTTATGAGAAGAAGTGATGACATTTATCAACGATAGCAGCCCGACGCGAAGTGCCGTATTTGTGGTGTTAAGCCCCAGAAGGGGGAGAATTGACTATGAGGAGACATGGATCAGATAAATTTGTAGGGAGTCAAGCAAAGCGTCCGGGGAAAAGAGCCCAGAGCAAGTACCCGCGCGCTCTCCCGAGATTCGGTTCGTAGGCAGGAAGAACCATGGGTGGTCACCACCACCCATGGTTCTTCCACCCTCCACAACTACTAACAAACCTGCGTTGAGCTGTCGCACGTAGTCGCGCCGCAACGGCACGCTGAGCCCGTTGATTATCCGGCATCAGACTTTAGAATTAGAATACACCATAAGCTTAAAGTCCCACGTGTTACCTAACTTTCAAATCAAATTCAACCGTATCTTCACAACATATACTGGCCCGAGAAAATTTCCAACGAACTCTTGGAACGCTGCCACGAAATTCCGATCAAGCGCCGCGAGTGGAACTGGAACGGCCACACTCTCCGAAAGGACCCCGATCACATCCCCAAGCAGGCTCTGGATTGGAACCCCCAAGGAAAACGCAAACGTGGTCGCCCCAAACAAAGCTGGTGGCGCACTGTGGCAAACGAGGTGAAGAAAATCGACAAGACTTGGAGCGAGATCAAACGCGAAGCTCAAGACCAAACGCGATGGAGGACTATTCTAGACGTCTTCTGCCCCATCTAGGGGACATAGGACATTAAGTTAAGTAAGTCAGTTCACGACTTTAAACAGACCTGCGTTGAGCTGGCGCACGTAGTCGCCGCAACGGCACGCTGAGCCCGTTGATTATCCGGCATCAGACTTTAGAATTAGAATACACCACAAGCTTAAAGTCCCACGTGTTCACTAACTTTCAAATGAAATTCAACCGTATCTTCACAACACATACTGGCCCGAGAAAATTTCCAACGACGAACTCTTGGAACGCTGCCACGAAACCCGATCCACCAGCAGGTCAAGCGCCGCGAATGGAACTGGATCGGAAAGGAACTCGATTACACCCCCAAGCAGGCTCTGGATTGGAACCCCCGAGGAAAACGCAAACGGCGCACTGTGGCAGACGAGGCAAAGAAGATCGGCAAGACTTGGAGCGATATCAAACGCGAAGCTCAAGACCAAACGCGGTGGAGGACTATTCTGGACGCCTTCTGTCCCATCTAGGGGACATAGGGCATTAAGTTAAGTAAGTCAGTTCACGACTTTATACAGACCTGCGTTGATCTGGACCTTGTCGAGGCACGCTTGGCAGTGAGCTGTAATATAAGCTCTCCAAAACTATTCACAAACCTGCGTTGAGCTGTCGCACGTAGTCGCGCCGCAAGGGCACGCTGAGCCCGTGGATGTGCAGCGACGCCATGCCGGCGGTGGCGGCCGGGCCCGCGCCCTCCACTTGTAGCCGCTGGACCTCGTGGAGGCACGCTTGGCGGCGGTGAGCTATGGACAAATAATGAGTTATAAGTAAAACAGTCTTTAAAGTGCCGACTGCACGCGGCAGCGGCAGACGACATGTCGCCGCGACACGTCACTTTTTATGTATTTCTATTAAATACTTTCAGGCGACGTGTCGCTTGCAACGAACGCAACAAATTTCATAGAAATATATAGAAACCAGTGATGTCGCAACGACATGTCGTCAGGTGCTGCTTGCTGTGTACGGTCAGCTACGAAATCATACCTTTATACTAGTCTTCATTGCAGGAAGAAAACTCTCTCCAATCTACTAGAGGCAAATAGAGGATTTAGCCTACACTCCTCCCTTATGCTGGCCAGACGGGATAGGGAGGCCTGATGCTCACATATTCTCCCTCAGTATTTTATTTCTTAACATTTAAGGGAAGGTTGGGGATTGGTTGTATTCTACTCTGTTGAAACCACCCGGCACAAAAGATCTTAATATTAAAAGACTAGGGTTTAATGTCCTAGTCAAGTTGGTTACACAGAATAATGAAACATTTATTGTCCAATAATATATTCAATACTAACAATGCTTTGTTGTACGTAATGTACTTACTTGCTAATAGAAGCAGTCTCTCTCCTTCAGCTTGTTCAGTAGACCCGCTGAATTCGATAGTCGAGGCGCATAGATTCAATGCTTGACTGGCCTGTAACAAAAAGTTAAAAAAAATATATCGATATTCGTTATTTTACACTCTCTATCGTTCATACACATAGTTTTGCTTAGTGCATTGTGTGAATATTACCTGTCTTTCATGTATTGGTCTAACTAGCGTATCTAATGAGGACTTCCATATTTGCGCTCACTAATTGGCACCACTGGCGAGTGACAGATCCTTAACTAATAGTGATGCCAATCTATAGCCTGACCAGGAACATAAAAACCCTGGCATAGAGGCGCTTCAATTGCATTTGATAGTGCAACACTGAGTACAGTCGTACATGTGTTAAATTAATAGGCTAAATTTATGTACCAGGATTCAGGATTACGGGCTAATTTGATATTTTCATAAATTAACGAAAAATATTATTAAAGGAAACCTAGTTTAAATAAATTAAATGAAACCATCAATCGAGCTAGTAGGATTTATTTTATTATTCATCAATAATCAAATTCAGAACTTGAATATTCAACTGCAATGTCTGCTCATGAACGCTTCAAACTCGGTACTTCTTTCCCAATTCCATAAAATTTATAGCCTGACCAGGAACATAAAAACCCTGGCATAGAGGCGCTTCAATTGCATTTGATAGTGCAACACTGAGTACAGTCGTACATGTGTTAAATTAATAGGCTAAATTTATGTACCAGGATTCAGGATTACGGGCTAATTTGATATTTTCATAAATTAACGAAAAATATTATTAAAGGAAACCTGGTTTAAATAAATTAAATGAAACCATCAATCGAGCTAGTAGGATTTATTTTATTATTCATCAATAATCAAATTCAGAACTTGAATATTCAACTGCAATGTCTGCTCATGAACGCTTCAAACTCGGTACTTCTTTCCCAATTCCATAAAATTCAAAGCTTAGAAAGTGACAAAAAACATTAAAATAGGTAGTTGAAACAGACTACAGCTAATTTTCATAGTGGACTGTACTATACGATAAACATGTCAGTCAATTTGACAACCTTTGTCGGAAACATTATTCAATGAAAATATTGTCCGAACCCTTAGTATTTCTCTTCGACAAATACATTAACACATCGTGAACCACTTTTCTTTCACGACTATAATATATTTTAGCAATTTAATTCACAAAATCAATTGCAAACATTTAAAATAAAGTTTGTTTACACTTTGACAACAATAGAATGACATGCAAGGTGACATGTCAATGAAGTTTTCAGTTACTGTTGCCATTAAAAGAAATTAGTACCATTAGTTTTCCGCAACATGGCGAGGGTTTTTATGTTCCTGGTCAGGCTATAATAAAAGTATTTGCGTCCTTTTAATTTAGCGCTCACCAGTTTGGCGCCACTTTATTAGTTACGAGCGAGTGACAGGACCTTACTCGCCAGTGGCGCCAACTGGTGTTGATCTCTCACTGGGAGTGACGTCATGTCGCCGGCACAGTACCTGCAAGATGACAGTCTGCTGCTTGGCGATCTCGTTCTGCAGTTCCTTCACCCGCTGGCGGACGGTGACGGCGGCGGCCGGCTCGTGGGAGTGACGTCATGTCGCCGGGAGTGACGTCATGTCGCCGGCACAGTACCTGCGAGATGACAGTCTGCTGCTTGGCGATCTCGTTCTGCAGCTCCTTCACCCGCTGGCGGACGGTGACGGCGGCGGCCGGCTCGTGGGAGTGACGTCATGTCGCCGGCACAGTACCTGCGAGATGACAGTCTGTTGCTTGGCAATCTCGTGCTGCAGCTCCTTCACCCGCTGCCGGACGGTGACGGCGGCGGCCGGCTCGTGGGAGTGACGTCATGTCGCGAGTGACGTCATGTCGGCAGCACAGTACCTGCGAGATGACGGTCTGCTGCTTGGCGATCTCGTTCTGCAGTTCCTTCACCCGCTGGCGGACGGTGACAGCAGCGGCCGGTTCGTCGGGTGTCGCCGGGATCTCTCGCTCGGGCGAGCCGTGGCGGACCACTCGCATAGGCGTTGTGGGCGTTGATGACTAGAAGGTAAAACAAGTTTCATGAGTTGAAAAAATCTGTGACATTTTAACAGTTGTTACGAAAGACTTTAAGCTTTTACTATTATGTGTCACAACAGGGGCATGCGTCGTTCATATAATCATCACGAAAACAAATTGTGCAGAAGTCAACGTCACAAACAAGTGTTATTTTTCGATTTTATGCTACGCGGGCCTGGCTGCACACATCTGAACCTCTCGCACTCTTAAAATCGGCTAAATAATCACTCAGTTTATCAGCATCATAGTCTATTCTAAAGCCCGGTTTCCACCAAGGCGGAGCTGAGAAATGTTGAATAACCAATCAGATTTCATTCAGGTTGAATGAAATTTACAGAATGAAATCTGATTGGTTGTTGAAAACACATCGCTCTGCTCCGTTCCACCTTGGTGGAAACCGGGCTTGATACAAAAACTCAAAATTAAAAGAAAGAATCTATCGCAACTGTAGATCGTTTCATCCACGAAGACGCGCCCCACCAATTTTTGGTCGAGGGAAGCGCGGGGTGCGGGGAGTTTGATCCGAGCAATCCTAGCGTCATTATTGTAGTGAGTGTTTTTTTTTTATGTGACAGGAGGCAAACGAGCAGACGGATCACCTGATGGTAAGTGATTACCGTCGCCCATAGACACCCGCAGACCCAGGGGCGTTACAGGTGCGTTGCCGGCCTTTAAGGTGAAGATACGCTCTCTTCTTGAAAGCTTGCAGGTCGTATCTGTCCGGGAACAGCGCAGACGACGAATTATCAACAGCCAGCTCCTTCGGTACCTAGAGGCCCACCAGTTGCTAAGTGACCGACAGTACGGTTTCCGTGGAGGTCGTTCGGCTGGTGTGCACTCATGGATAATTTAGCGTGTACCAATAACACTCAAACATTAGCGGAAGAATCGTCTTCGTGGATGAAACGATCTATAAATGCACTTATCCTTACCGCATTCTGCATCCTCCTATAGAAGCTGACGCTATGGACCAGCTCGTTACCCCGGTCTACCCTGGGAGTGGTGGGGTGTTGGGGAGGCTTGGGCTTCTGCGGCGACTTGAACTGCGCCTTCTCTTGGTAAACAAAACTGGACGAAGACGTTACGCTGCCGTGCTGTGGATAGAAGTTATAAAGAATCTAATAACGTCAATAATAAGCGAGGTAAACTTTCAGTTACTTTGTTAACTAGGTCTGAATACTCGAACCGAACAGGAAAAAGATATTGTACACAATGGATGTAATTATGATATTGGTCTGTAAGGATAAACACAATGTGAAAAGTGGTATGTAAATAAATTGGAATAAATTGCTTCTGAGGAAGCCTTCTATTTTGACCTTTGGAGAGTTGTTGATGGCGATCAAGCTGTAAATCCTGGATGCAGGAGTAGCATCGGTGAGAATGATTGACGAAGGCTATCTTATTATTAGCTTCAGAATTGTTATTGGCTGTCAAGTTGTAGATTATAGAGGCAAGACTGCGTTTAGCGTTCTAAACTACTCCTACAGGTGGCGAAGACTACCTTTTTACTTTGGGGGCGTGGGCTTTTGCCATCTTGTAGCTCAATGGTTGGGCTGTCATTGACGTCCTTCTTGTAGCTTTAGCTTGGGTTGGTGGTAAAGCTGTAGATCTAACAATACATGAGTTGCCTTGGACGGCATGGCTCAGTACCGCTTTACGGGACTATTCCCACCTCTCGTTCCCACCGCTGCAACTCTTGTGTAGCCAGGATCTACAGCTTGACCGCCATAAAAACCCAACCATTGAAGGTCAAGTTTGTCCCGGGGGAAAGTTAAACTGTCATTGGACCCGCAACGAAATTAATCAGAAGAACATAGGAGGAGTTCGAAATTAAGGTTCGACTTCCCTCCATTGCAAAGCGGTATGCAGGTGACAAACAATGGTTTAATAACCTCAGTACCGAAACTGCCAACACAGGTAGGTACTGGTTTTGGAACGGGTGAGGAAGAAGTCTACCTTATTAACCTTGGGAGGCGTGGGCCCGTCCTCGTTCAGCGCTTCATCTAGCATATCGTCTAGTTCGCTATCGCAAGCGCTGTGAGTGTCATCGGAATCGCTTTCACGCACCGCTTTTTTGTAGCTTGTGTTGTTTTTCTTTACAACCTGTGGAAAGTAATGTGTTTGGTTAATTAAGCTTAACCCATAGTTTGAGTGGCATAATGTAGTTTCTCAAAGAAAGCCATTTTGTGTTAGAGTTTTCGGAGTTAGTCCCATACAAAAAGTTGTTAAATCAAATATTTCACTCTTTTCTGTGCCCAGCAGGGTTTTTACACATTGTATTCGTGGCTCTTACACAGTTAAAATGCATATTTAATTAAACATAGGAGAAGAAATAAGGTCCGTTCTAATATGCCAATCGATTTGTGATCAAAACCCAAGAAATATTTATTTTAAAAAGCCTTTGCCAATTTAATAGCAAATACACCGTTCGGCGTGTGCTTAAAAAAACTTACGTTCATGACTTCTCTCCCAAAAGATGTCTCTGCCCAGTTATCTGACTTGTTCAAATTGTCGTTGAGACGTTCGTCCGTGCTGAAAAAATAAATTATCGTTATTAAATCCGCCATTTTTAATTTTGATGACATCATTATAATAAATTCATTGACCTTATTTGCCGTATATGAGTAAGTTTGTGATGATTTTGATCTCAGTAATGCGTTTTACTAGCAGCTAGGAATATTAAGAATAGAAGTTAGTACGAAACGACAAGTTTAGTTTTTAAACCAAACAAATAACTTAGGTCAATAGTTAATTAAAATGATTAACTGTAATAATCATACGTTTTAATTGTCATGAAACACTATTCTTTAGTCTCCAAAAATTTTCTTTTGGATCCACTACTTTTATGCTTCAACCACACCAAAGCTTTAACCGCACCAACGCGTGCAGAACGCCGTCGCCGGCGCGATCATAGGAGAATGACAGGTCGCGTGAACTGTCATGGGTCGCGCGACCTGTCATTGGCCTTTGATCGCGCGGGCAATGGCGATCTGCACGCGTTGGTGTGGTTGAAGCTTTACTCTCATGATAATACAATATGACCAGTGGATTCGTTATTATTCTGTGGTTTTAAAACGTAATCATGATGATGACTTGTGTATGTATTTTTAAATGGGAATCGTAATACCGAAGGTTGTTTCTATCGTGACAGCAAGATATTTAACCATTGTGCTGGTTGGATTCTGTGTCGGAAGGTACTAAACATAATTGGAAGTACATTTAGTCTGATTCGTGATTACTGCACGAACTCTGTGAAAGTGTCATTTTAAATAAATTAATTCTTCCTTAAATATTCTTGTAGTTATTATTATGGCAAAACATGACAAAAATTATCAAAAGGCCTTCGCTATGGTGTTTTTTTTATACTTCGTTCCGTGAAGGTATTCGATTTTCGGAGCGATGACTTGCCACTAATTGTTGTATCCTATTATTAGAACTTTCAAGCCTGAAATTTTTTAAGTTTTTTTTTATGCATAACAAGGCAGGTATTTGACCACAATCGCATCGCACCTGATGTTTACCTGTAGAGATAATGCAGCTGGTTTTTGTATCGATATCGATTTGTACAAAACAGAGTTACTCTTTGTTTTTCCTCAAAGGTGTCGAACTTATTGTGAAGAAGGTTGAGTGCATTTTGCACTAGGGTGAAAAGTGACCTAGTTTTCGAGTTACTGAAGTCTTCAGAAGGGAAGATGAAGGGAAGATTCCGAGGAACGTTTTGACCCTTATGTAAGTAGACTGCAAGAAGAGAGATTACTCTACCTCACCTACTAAATCAAATCTAAAAACTAGGCTTTTTATAAAATATGGGCATGGACCTAATGTCCGCCTATTAAAAGACAAGTCATGTAGATATAATTTACAGCTCACTGCGCTATTTCACGCCTTGTGAATAGAGAAATTATATTTTTATAAGTGGATAATCGAGTGCCGTGTGTGGCCGATCTCCCCGTTTATCCGGTAACTGTCAATCACATGATTCAACCATTTACCGCCTAATGGCTTTATTGGCTTATCTCGTGACACATTTTGCTTTATGTCTATTTTGGTTTTTAAAAGTAGGTCTTTCTGTTAGTTAAATACGTCATTTGATAAATTCTTGAATCATTACACCTATTAAGTATTAGTATTTGGTATTAGTGGGGTTTAACACCTATTTAAGGTCTCTTTGTAGACTGTCTTTAATTTAGATTCATTAAGCCCCAGATTAAAAAGCGTTAAAGTACAGATGATAGCACATGAGTCTAATATTAGTCTGTTAAAAAAATACCGTGAATTTTCTTTTTTTGAGATGGATATTTATTTATTAATATTGGCGCCTTTAAAACAAGCCTTCAGGGGCTATTATCTAATATAACAATATAAAAAAAATATCAGTCGGGGTCTCCAAACTCGCGAAATTTAAATATTCCCGATATTTTCTGAACAAACCTCGTAAATTTTTGTTGCATTAAGTACGACTGCATTCAAGACGCCACTATGTTTACCTTGAAATGCTGTCGGTATACTAAAGTCTTTAGTCCGTTTTAAAGACAGAAATTCAAAACTAGACTCAATATCAAGCATAGATTGAGACTTTTGATTGGTTGAACTTTAATATTTGGACCAAACACAGGAGAGATACGGATCAAGGAGAGTCTATTATCCACAGGTCTAGAAATTGTAATATCATCATGATTAAGTGCTTTTAAAAGGTCTAAAGGTGATTTAGGTAGGTTTAAATTTCTGGTACGTAGAAAAAAAGATCACTTTTCATTCTATTATTTATGTTGATTTATAATAATATACCTACTCCATTGCTTTTATAAAACGCATTATTGACCAAGATTACGTAATCATTGTTCAAGGAAAAATTTGGAACTAAAATTTTTGCATACCGAGAATCATCATACGGCAAATAAGGACAATGAAAAACACAAATGACTTCAACACTTTATTTTACAAATAAAAAACTATAGAAAAAGTTCCTATTATCACAGACATCGAACTTAAAATTTAATATTAACATCAAGAGAACCTGAAATAAAATATTATTAGAGCTGGGAATCGCATTACTTTGAAATATTTTTTTAATTTCAAACCTTTAGACAAGGGAATAAAGTTCAAAATATTGTGGGAACTATATTCCCACTGCCGTGTAAAGGGTTAAGTCGAAGTGTTTTTAAGAAAAAACACGGCAATCTCAATGATAAAAAAATATTACAAAGTAGCAGTTTTAGTAAATTAATAAAGATATTTAGTCTATTGTTAGTGCTTACAGAAGTAAATAAATAACAATTATACGGCTCGTATTCTAAAAATACATGAAAACTCATACTCATTTAGACATAAACTCATGACATAGAATGATAGAAAGTGATTGGTTAAGTTAGAATTTTTTAATGTATTTTCAGAATACAAGTTTAAAACATCGAGATTTTAATTTTTCATTCGTAGAAACAGTCTTAACAATAAATTGACCTACATTGATATAATATTATAGTCTATTAAAATGAGAATAAGGTTTATGGAATCGAAAAGAGTTCAACTATTTTTATTTTCTAATACAATTGTATTTCTGTCTATAGTATTATTGGATATTATTCCAGATATTTATTTTACTATTCAAGGTCCAAATTCTGAAACCATGCTCAAATATAAAGTTTCAACGAGTCATTCCATCTTGGTCCAAATTAAACCAATCACCAGAGGGACTCATAATCTATACTTTCTTGATTTTGAAACCAATTTTGAGCAACGTTTCAGAATAAAGGTCTTTAAATCGTATAATAGGTATTCTAAAATACATTAATGGTTAATGATTGTTAGTACAGCCGACCGCACATCAAGCTTTACATTTTGTTGCACTATTACAACTAAAGAAACCACAATAATTAGCAAAATATGCCGTCGACTGTTCTAACTGGCAAGAGTTATTCGATTGTTATCGCATGCAAAATCGTAAACTACGTTTAGTTTTGTAATAGTCAATTACTTTTAAATCTCAGATAAGCTTATTCGATACGAAAATAACGTAATATCAAAGCATTTGTTATTTAAAAATAAAATACATTTTCATTAAAAATAGTAACAAATGCACAAAAATATATACGAAAAGATAAATAGTAATTATTATAAATATCTACGCTTATATTAATATTATGCTACACTTCGGTTTATGCAAAGATACATTGAAATGGCCTAGTCTAGATATGTCCATATAAAGCGTACGTAACGCTAGATATTATATTACATGGGTTAAATGCATAATATTATTACTATTTTTTAGTTATGTATATTTTAAGCAGTTTTAGTACCTTTTTGGGACTTCTTCAATCTTTTAAAACAATTTTTTTTAATGGAATTATATCAAATTATGTAAAGAACCCTATGTAATAACTGAAAAGATTTAGAAATAAACGAATACATACTAAGTTACTGATGTATTTTGATATCCCTACCCTATCTACTTAATAGGCAACATACAGTCTTATTAAATAACTTATTAATAATTATTAATAATATGTACTCGGAAGCTATAATGGCTGTACAGGCATTTCATCGTGTATCGGGGAATGGATTTAGTAAAATTACTATAAAGACGCCTATATCCTGTGATTATGACACGATCAGGTTATGCATCTCATTTAAGAATTTTTTAGTCTCAAAATGATTTTACAGTCGCTAGCATACCAGCCGGCTAAGGATGTGCACGACAAATGTATGAGCTTATCGCGTAATATCGGTAAAAGGCCACGATAAAATTATATTGCGCGCTAATGCTACAGGTTTTGGCTTGGTGCTGTCATCTAATTAAGCTCATAACTTACTACGTAAATCCACCCTATTCTTTTTTCAGACTAACAGCCAAAAGGTCCCGAAAAGATCTACATCGATCAAGACATAGTAGCCGAAACTGATTTTGAGGATATCTACACTGGATGCGCTTTGCTGTCAAAGTGAACGCAGCCCGCGTCATTTATGAACAACATTGTTGTATTGATGCGATCTGAACGCAAACTGACAGGTGCGGGCAGCGTTCATTTGACCTAACCGCAGACCGCATTCAGTGTAACAAATGACAATCGCATCAAAAAAAGGTCAGGACTCAACTTAAAATGTTCACACGACTTGATATTATATCCCAAAATAATAGCCCTGTTCCTACAGCTAATTTAATGCTTATATGATTAGTAATAACTTGAAACTTGACACTTGGACGCTTTCGCTCGACCGATGATTCAGTATTAGGTTACGGTGTGTTGTGAAATTCTAACTGTGACCGGGTATTTTGGATACCGCCCGCATATTATAAAATAAAAAAAATAAAAATATCAACAGGATACTGAGTCAGTCGTCCTCATTAATACTACCTACCTGGTAGTAAAACCTTTTGTTATTTTGACTAATGAAGGGATATTTGGCTGACTGGTTCTGATGAATACTTTAACGCTCTATTGCTCGTAAGATTAATATCAAAACTTGACTCAACCTCGAAAATAAGTTCAAGCCTGAGATTAGCTGAAATTTTTGAGTCGAGAGAAATTCCTCATGGGGCTTATTGTTTAAAATTATACTTGTATTATTATCAAGAACGTTTCTTAGTTAAGGATAATACTTTTCAATTAAGAGTTGGAGAAATGGCAGAACATAAGTCCAAAGATAGTTATTATTATTTATTATAGGCCACTATTTATGAGGCAACTGAGCATATGCCATGTGGGAATATAATTCCCACTTATTGCCAGTTTTACACAATAACAGCGCAAGTCCAGCCGTTAATCATCAAGATATAAGGTAAATCTTGGACATTAGGTATAAGGAAACAGGCACAGGTATATTATACAAAACAAAATTCATGTTATTACTAAGTAATCATAACACTTGATCACGGTGTATTATTTACCTTGTACGCCGCTAAATGTACTAGAAGCAAATCTTAGGAATAAATAATAAGATTTGATTAGTTCATTATGTAAATTGGCGTTACGTAAATACCTTTACAAGTTTGCAGGTTGGTTATTATTATAGTAGAAGATATACTGGTATTAACAAAGCGACCCAACTCTTGCGAACACTTGGCCAATTTTATGTAATTACAATAATCTGTCTTTATGGTAGGTATTTTTCGATAAAACTAGATTGAAATACACAAATGCTGACAGCAATTTTAATTAATATAAATTGCATATAAGAAATGTCAGAGAATCACCACAAAAAATTACTCAGAAGTTACTCCGAAAAAGGTGATCCAGTTTCGAATGTTGCCATCCCTGTCACGCAAGAAGCCAGCATGAGCGACAGTGACAGATAGATCCGAAACTACGGTAGCGTTTGGTAATAGCCCTGAAGGTCCCAAAACTCGGACCGTTTTATTAATCCGGCAATCCCCGCACTGTTTGCGCTCGCGCATCGTTATACGTTTTCTTGTAATAGTATGCAAGTGTGCAACCAAACCGGTTGCAGGTTAACTTTGGCCCACATAACCAAGCCATTGTCAAGGTTGCATCCTGCCTTATAAATGCTGGCTGATGTAAACAATTGCAATCGACTATTGAAAATGATTAGTTATTAGCGGTAGTTCCTTTAACTGTTATTGGGACTTTTTCCTCAGAATAGTTCCTATGAAAAATGTAATTTAACCCTTTAACTGGTACAGGGCAAAATATTTTATTTTAACCTTATCATATTATCTCAATAAAGTTCAAAATATGTTAGCAACAATTCAGCCACTAGGTACCTACCAGGTAAAAGTTTTAAAAAAATTCAAGAACTTCTCATAGTAGGTATAGTTAGGTTTCAGCTAACGACACCAACATTATACAGCCAAATTCAACCTTATAGCATTAGTTTATAGAGTACACAGTCACGAACCACAGACTTCACTATACGACCCTAACTAAATGATATAAAAAAGTTTACAAAATTCAGTCTCAACTACATTTAGGCACTAGTTGATAACATTGCTTCAAAAAATTATTTACGCACGTTACTTTTGGTAAAAAAAAAGTAAGTTGCCTTGGACACTGACCCTGGCTTCTAAATTTTGTTCAAATTGACCAAACATTTTTTTAAATATTTTCTAATAGTGGTTCTTAACATACAGCCAGGTATAATATGTAGTTCAACCAATTTGATGATAGAGAAACCAAGGGTATGTCACACTCGATTAGATCAAAAACCGCACCTCAGAAACACACAATTGTCAATTCAATGCCACAGTAAAAGGGAACAGTGTATCATCTTCATACTCGTTTGACTGTAACCAGCTAGCTAAATCACCAATCTCCTTTGCATTGACTGTGACAAGCTAAATCACCATTTTTGTCTGTTTTATTCTAAGTAAAATCAGTATTTGACAGACAGTGATAGCGTAAAAATACTTTACAGTACAATTCGTGTTATTATTATTATTATAAATTATTATTATAATTTGTATTATTATTATAAAGAGCTGTGGTTTTCTGAATAAAGAAAAATAAAATAAAATAAAATAAAAATTAAAAAGAAGAAAGAAAATCATCTTTTGTCATTCGATATACTCTCATGCATATCAAATATGAAAGTCAGAAATAGGCATCTTCAAATCAAATTCTGTTATTGCTCTATGTTGGTATACAAAGGCATCGTATCTTGCTTCTTTCTTAGCTTGATGCGAATTCCAAAATCTTTAAATTAAGGAACTAGTACGAAGATAACTTACTCTATCTCTTCACTATGGCATACCATCGATACACGACGCGGTTACCCGCATCCAACAATGGCCTGATAAATCCTCAATGCCGACGATATGCCTTAGAGTAGGCCACCGTAATAGCACGGTTGTAATTAACCTCCATTTTATATCTAACTCCTTTAACAAGTTGTAAACCAGTTGCCAATGTAGCATTTGTGTCGTATAATTTAATATCATGCCTATAAACAGACAAGATATTGATGGAGTTCATATTAACGTCATGCCCTTTTTGCAAAATGAGAAAATCTGAACGTTTACTTAAAAGTCGCACTACAAGTTGATAATGATACGTTATTGATTCAATTACATACATGTATGGTAATTTAATTTAATTGTATGCAATTAAGTGCAATGGCCTTTTACGTGAGCTAACTTTTAAGTAGGTTGAGCTTTTGCAAGTTTTGAAGATATAATCTTTATAAAATGCAGACAAGGTGGTTAAACGAAACAATACTAAAAATGCAACCGATTAGACTCGCAGACTGCTGACTTTGGTCGGCCGATAGTTGGGCCCGATTCTAATTTGTATGAAGAATTGGTCGATATCAAATCAGTGTAATGTGCGCACTTTCATACATATCCACACTGATTAACAGCCCGACCCAACTATCGGCCAACAAAAAATCTGTAGTCTGCTATTAGGAGAGCTTGCGAGGACTAAAATAAAGCCGGTTCTCCCGAGAATCTTCCAGGACTTCTTAAACAGTTCTCCCGTCTTCAACACCTGTAATATTCAAATGCAAAGGAAGAAGAATACGCATTCTAGGGCATAGTATCCGCACCTTGAGCCTCCACAGTCGGAGAACTCCTCCTGGGTATTTGAATTGTCAGTCTCTATATCAGACAGGTGGGGGTAGAGACCAGGCTGTTGTAATACCAGTCCGTTTGTCAGTGGTTCCTTTTTGCTGTTCACTTTTATCCGTTTTACGTCTTCCAGAACTGATAGTACTACTGGGGAGTCTTGGGAACCTGGAATGAGAAAGAGAATGGTTGTAACATCTACGCTAATATTATAAAGAGGAAAGATTTTATTGTTTGTACTGAATAAGCTTCTATATTATTCCTGATAAACATAGGCGGTACGAAGTCCGCCAAGTCAGCTAGTTGTGAGACATTTGTAAAGATTTATTAAGGCATATGCACATTGTTACAAGGCGTACGCGTGACGTTACATGGAAGTGATTCGTTTGTTTCCTATATTGATGTCACACACACGCCTCTCCCAATCCACGCTACATGCTTTTGACTGCATCATACGGGTGCATTTAACTACGTTTTTTTATAAAGAACAAGGCAGGTATTTGACCGCAATCGCACCTGATGTTAAGTGAGATGCTGTCTAGGATGGTACATATTATATTTTATGGCCTGTAGCTGCATATTCACTCTCGCCTTTTAAAGGTAAGGCCTCAGCCTCGAACTTAGCGGGCAGCGGGGCGGGAGCGGCGGCGGCGCGGGAGCGGGGCGGGCAACGCAGACCCGTTCTCGAAACAAGCGGGCACCTCGCGCGGCGCTTTAGCGGCGAAGTGTTGTGTTTGGGGTTGTGTTATCGAGATATTTGTTTTTATTCGCAAACGAAATGTCTAAACAACGGCGACAATTTTATTTCGATTCAAATTTATTCCTAACGCTCGATTTATTGTGGGCAAAAGAAGGAGTGCGCTGCCCGCTCGTTGCCCGCTCCCTCGCCGCTGCCCGCTCGTTGCCCGCTGCCGCGCCGCTGTTTTCGAGAACCAGTCTATTTGATTTTACGCATAAGATCCTGCCGCTCCCGCGCCGCCGCCGCCGCCGCCCCGCTGCCCGCTAAGTTCGAGGCTGAGGCCTAAAAGGCCCGGATCATAGCGTTCGGGAAAGACAGTAACAGGCAACGAATTTCAGTCCCTACCTGTTCGCATTATAAAAGTTATCGAATCATTTAGTGTGATGGAATGTCGACAATTGCAACGTATTGACAAGTTTACAAGACCACAACATTCTTCTGTAAGTGAATTGTCATCACTTTAATACAGGCAAAAAAATTGATGGATCTTCCGAAAATAGAAATGTAACACACGAGACAAATGTGGCTTGGAAAACAAGTTGCCTTAAGCACTGATAAAAACCTGATATTTCCATAATGTTTGGGTTGGGTCTTTTATTGTGATGATTTCACCAAAATGAAATTTTTGGAACTTTGTTTAGGATCTTTTTGGGTGTGCTGGGACATTTACGTATAAAAATAATATTTCACAACTTGTGGCCGTGTGGGTCGTCCATTGACTTTATGTACTCGTATGTCCACATAAAATAAAAATATAAAATTTAGCTCTTAAGCATTAAAATTTAAAATATGCAGGTACAGGTCTTGTTAATCGGATAATAACCGAGGAATGCGTCACAAGAACCGTCAAGCGTGAACCCTGAAGTTTCCAGGTCACAGAACGTGCTGATAAGAGTGGAGCCTTTTTGCGAAACTAGTTTTACTGTGTCACTAGTAACTATTTGAGCACTGAAGATAATTTGAGTTCTGTATGTTATTAGAAACAAAATCTATATTCTAACGGGATGTTCTTGTGGAATGGAATGGAAATATTAGTGCAACGCTCTAAGTACAACATAGGTACTATGTTTAAAATAGTTGAAATGTGAATGATGCAACGTGCAACCTGCATTTTCCCATTAAAGTAGTAAGTAGTAGTCATCTCACAAACTACGCACGATTCTAAAAGTTATCAATGTTTTTAAAATCTATTAACTTTTTTAAGAACTTTTTTTCTGAAATCTTACAGTTATCAACAAGAAATCAAACTACCTATTGATACAGCAGTTATGTAACTGGTTTTAGCGGTTCAAGTTGCATCATCACTGCCACTACAAACAACAAAGTAAACGAAGTCAACAAACTTACTTCTCCTTTTAACTGGTTGCGATCCAACGACTTTTTCTTTCTCCGCCTCCTTGTCTATGAGCTCCTGGGCTTTGGTTTTGTCGTCGAACGTGACTTTTGGCACATTGGCGATTATTTCAGGTTTCTTCGCGGCGTTCGCGAGGTTAAGCGCACTGCCCATAAGCGGCGCCTTCTCCGAACGGTCATTGTCACTTTGCTCGTCGTCAGAATCGCCGTTGTCGTGAGCCGGCGTTTCTTTTGGGGGCTAAAATTGAAATAAAACATCTATTAAATGAAGTATACACATAATATAGTTAAGTTTTTAATTCTAGCTATACAGAACATGGATTGAAACTACATAGCAGAAAGTAACAGCTCAGATGTTCGGCTTCTAAGACTTTAGGTCTAGGGCATAAAATATATGGGAGCGGCACGGGAGGGTGTTTTTGAGACTTCAAACGTCAGCGATACTTATGCTTCAGATTTGTATTTTGTATGCTGTGTCAAGTTGATAAGACTGAATTAAGCGCTAGAACTAAAGCTCGGAATTGAAAATTTCCAGATTTATTAATGAAACTGGTTTTAAGTTACAAACTTAACGAGTCCCTTTTCACGGGAATGACTCAAAGGGCAGAGAGAGTGATTCTGTTACCACTTTCTATTTCTAATTCGTGTGGGAGGTTATAATTAGATTCGAAGCGAGACCTCTTTCTTCCGACATAACTCCTAAACATGAGTCATAAGAAATCGTCTGTTTTGGGACAAAGTACACAAGTTGCAAAATATTACTTGTTGCGTAGATACCGATATAAGAAGTGCTAAGTTATTTGCACACCTTTATGAAATGACAAAAAGTGAAAGAACTGTCTTGTGCAAACATCCAGACGGTTAGAATAAAACCAACGTGAACGAGAATAACCCGAATAGGGTGCGTAAATAAAAACCAAGTTTTTCAAACTTTACATTGTACAGACTGACTCATCTAACTAAACAACACACATTGTTGACTTGGTTCACTTGTGTAATGGCAATAGGGTGCTGTTTCGCGACAATAATGTAGTTATGCTGGCGACTGTATCCTATACATTTAGTTACCCCACAGACTACGGATTTATAATCGGCCGATAGTTGGGTCGACTTTCAATTTGTATAAAGAATCTCCCGACACCAAACCGGTGTTATGTGCGCAGTTCCATACATCAAAAAATATAAATTGCTTATATGTTCATACTGATTAACAGCCCGACCCAACTATCGGCCGATTAAGACCGAGTTGCACCACCTTATTTTAACAATACCAATAACCGGTCTTTTTATGTGAAGTTTGACGGATTTTTGACGTTTGTCAAAGTTAAAGTAAGATGGTGCAACCCAGCATAAAAGTCTGCAGTTTACGAGGTCTTACGTATTTTACACAGGCCAATGTCGATTAAGATTTAATATAATCTAAGAAACCGAGTTATCACATTTTCCTGTACAAACCAGTTAACAGGAAAATCGTAAAACTTAAGACACGGAGGATTTTGTTTACGCAAAATGCAAATTAAAGGAAAAGATATAATGGATTTTCCAAATGACTTGATATAGTCATCATCGATTTTAAAGTGACTAAAGCATTAGACTGTTGCTTTGCGTTGAGAAATGGAATCATAACCATCATCATTTCAGCCATAAGACATCCACTGCTGAACATAGCCTCCCCCAATGATTTCCTTAATGACCAATTGGTAGCGACCTGCATCAAGCGCCTTTCTGTTGCCTTTATGAGGTCGTAGGTCCACCTTATGGGTGGACGTCCGGTACGTGGCCTCCACTCCAGAACCTTGCTGGCCCATCGGCCATCAGTTCCGCGTAGTAAAAAAATAAATAATAGAATATCTTTTTCTTACCTTATAATTGAATCTGTTCTGCAACATCTCCATTTCTTTCTCTCTTTCCTGCTTGAACTTATTAGCTATCGTCGTCTCGCTTATCGTCTGCTCTTTACTGAATAGGGCTGCAAGTTTCCCTTTGATCCCTCCTACAGAGGTCTGGCTGACATTGTCATCGGCCAAACTGTCCTTGGAGTTTGCTCTCGAGTTTGTCGAGATGTTTGATTTTGTGGGCGTCGTCTTCGCACTGGTCTGGGACTTTGCTTTGTCTGAAAGTGTAAAGATTTGTTAGAACAAGGGGTCAACGAGTTCACATTGTGTATGCACGGAGCCAACTGTGAAGGCTTTGTGTGGATGCGATAACAAAGGAAGTTAAGGTTACCGCGTGATTTTGAAAGATGTGTGTTATCACGGTTTTATGGTATTGCATTCGTTTCGATAACGAGTATTTGTAACGAATTGCAGTAATTACATTTTGTAACATATTATGTGAACTTTTAAGTTTATTTGTTACCATGTCTATACTCTCTATTTAATTTAATTTTTGTTACTTAATTTGTATTGTGAAACTATGAATGACTACTTTCTTAGTGAATCCTTATTATTTTTGTAACTACTAAAGAGTATTATATTTTGGAACCGATCGAAGAAAGTTTCATACATGAAACACATGATCTTTCTAGAAAATTACACAACTAAAGGTAATATTGTGAAATAAGCGCTGCTAATTTTCTGTATAAATGAATACAAAGTTTCTTAGTGACTCCTTCCTCCTTATTCTTAGTTAAAAAAGAGTATGTATTTTGAAACCTATCGAAGAAAGTTACCTACTTAGTTCTTTTTAGAAAATTACGCAATCATTGCTCGACAAATCACACTGAAGGTAATATTGTGAAACAAATGCTGTTAATTTTCTGTATTAATGACTAAAACTTAGTGAATCCTAAATCTGGTACAAGAGTTATGTATTTTGAAACAACTCGAAGAAAGTTTCATGTTCTTTCTAGCAAATTACACAACTATTGCTCGACAAATCAAACTAAAGGTAGTGTAAGTGGCTTAAATAAATCTTACGCCATGCAATCGATTGAACATTATACAATTGTCTGCCGAATTGGTGTCGAAACCTGGTTTAATTGTTCGGGTCAACAGGCCTTGAGGCAGATGTGGCACATCTGTTGACGATGGCATATAAAGCTTAACACTGTGGCACCTTATTTGGTTAAAAATAGGTGTGATTTTGCTACATAAATGTAAAAGCTTATGTGGTGTTCAAACAGTCGTTTAAGACATAGCATTGGCGCATCTGTTGTCGGCTGCAAATAAAGCTTAACAGTGACACCTTATGTGGTTGTACTAAATGTTATAATGCAACAAAGATGTATAAAAAAAAACCTCTTTTTTTTGGAAGTTCTGATATCGCGGTCTACGTAAGAACAGCGCCATCTAGTTTCCAAAATGGACATTAACATTTATTATTTAGAAAATGTTAAATACGGGACCTCCAACATGTGTAGGTGGATGTGCTATTCAAACAATTCTTTAAGACACATGGCATTAACACTGTTGTCGACTGCAGATCAAGCTTAACACTTGCACCTTATGTACTTAGTCAATAGGTGTTATTTTGCAACAAAGATGTATAGTGTGATGTGTTGTTTACAGTTCTTTAAGATAGGTATCGCTAATAGGCCTCGGCCTGCATTTTAAGGGTCATCCAATTGCCCTATTCACCTAGTGCGCGTTTTACATTAATGACCGTGTAAAGGCAAATTATATTATTGGTGTGAGATTCGTTATGGCGTATGTGAGAAAACCAATAGGTAGAGTTTACGCTTCATCGACACTTTTTTCTACACTAATTACATAAAGAAGAAAGATTTGATTGTTCGTTTGTATTTAATAGGCTCTGAAACAAAACCACTGTACCGATTAGAAATAGGTATTATTTTACGATTAAAATCCCATATTATTATTTCTGATGAACATAGGCGGTACGATTTTCACGATTAGATAAAAATAGGCCCTCTGAGTTAAATAATTACATAAAAAGTTAAAAGAACGGTTTTGCTTTAAGACCGTTCGCGTTAGTTCGATTCCCGTCTACCACTGAAATATTTGCTCTAACCATATATTTAGCTTGTAACAATTTTTTATGCGACTATTACCTACTGCTACTAGTATGTTAAGTATTTATGTATTTTATGAATATAACCTTAGCATTCCGTCATAGCTTTACTAGTATTTTTCAGATATTCGCAATAAGAACCAGTTTTCAAGTATAGAATAGAAGAATAACATACATAATAATCCAACTTGGCCTTGTATCACCTTTGGCGGTAGATTTGACCTATTCTTTTAATGTAGAGACGGCATGTCAAGCTCAACACTGTGAATCTTATATATTTAAAATAAGAGCTGTTTTTCTACAAAAATAAATACATAGTCTGATGTGCTATACATTAAATTAAGAGGATGAAGTCTAGTATTATTTCAGTTATTGCCAATAAAAACCAGATATCCAGTTAATACCAGAACCAATTGAAACATATAGCAGTTTAATGGAATAATGAACATTTTATTAATCCAGCTCGACCTTGGACTATATTGGGAGGTGAATTTGACCTAGGTATTCTTGTATCATTTAAAATAGTAAGATGGCAGACATATTGCAAAGTAAATACAAGATGGCAGATGTATTGTATGTAATGTTGTAAGCGGTAGTGTATACAAAGTCCGTAACTATACTGTTAATGTTTGTTTTGTGATTAGTAAAGACATACTAAGGTCCACGTTGAGTAATAATGGAGAGCTTTATAAGTAGCTTACGGCGGTTTATTAAGAAACCATGAATTTGAATTTGAAATGCAGTCTAGGATGGTACATACTACCTACCCGTCCTGTCCCCTAGACAAAATGCATTTTTTGATAAAAAAAGGGCTTTTCGACCACTTTTCGACTGGTTTGCGATTATAATTTGCACTTTGTCTATAGACCCACTGTAAGTGCCTCTAACTCACTTGAAGAGGCCCTGATTTAGTATTCAGGAAAGAGAGCAAGTATAGTGTGTATTTTGGCGAAACTGCTTGAATCAATTTCATTAGAAAGATAGAGATAATCTTTTTATTTTCTTTAATTTCAGTTCAATATTTTAAAAAGTTATTTAACCAAAAAAACACTACTGTTTCGCAATCGAGTAGGTAGATTAGGATCTATCATTTATGAAAGTTCATAATTAACTGAAATTAAACACGATCGATTCAGCTTTCGGTGAAAGCAATGTCAGCCAAATCAATCTATTGTTTGACGAGGTACAGTCAGCATCAAATAGTTTGTGACACCTAAAGTTGCCAATAATGATAATACAACCTTATTCCAATTGTAACAAAGACGTGTTGCGAACTTATATGCTACTTCGAGTGTCACGAATTATATGACGCTGACTGTACATGTTGTAATTTTCCTAGATTTGCGTGATGCAATCAAACTGTTTATTATTCCGTTAAAACAATCAATACCTAAGTATCGTGTAGTTTACATTATGATGCATTGACCACGAATGGATATTGGGGTAAATGTTATTAAACCCAAATGGGCTTCATAAACTCATACTCATTGTTGTTTCAATTAAATAAAATCTTTAACACCAATTCTAAAGCAATCGTCATCTGATTAATTCGGAATAATGATGTATTGGCATAACTTAACATTTATTTAATAACTTTGTTAACAAACAACATCAATTAATCCCATTAATAAATAATATAACAGACGTGATAAAATACCAATAAAAAAATCAAATGTCAATACAGAAATTACATTATTCAAAGAACCGAAAATGTCAACTTATGCATTTACTTACATTAATACAAATGAAAGACTAAAATATCTACGCTTTAAAGCTTCATCACCTTGAAAGCTTAACTTCCCTATTTAGAATTCCTAGCTTTTGTCAGAGGTTTGGCTTGGATTTCAGTATGTCTTTTATATAAAAATAAATACCTAGCTATTGCGAGAAAAGAAAAACAAACATCCATCAAATCCTCAAAAATGTCCGGGGCGCAAAATGTCCACTTCTCGAAATGACAACTTCTTAAAATGTCAACTTCGCTAGAAGACAACTTCTCTTAATGACTATTTATTTATTTCTCACAATGACAAATTCGCATTTGGTCTACTTCGCATAATGTCAACTACTTGTTGATATTTTATTTTCATTATTTCTAGAGTTCTAGTTCTTCTGAGTTGTCATTGTGTGAAGTTGACCAAATGCGAATTTGTCATTGTGAGAAATAGACATTATTAGAAGTTGTATTTAAGCAAAGTTGACATTTTAAGAAGTTGTCATTTCGAGAAGTGGACATTTTGCACCCCGGTTGTCATTTTCATCAAGTTGTCATTCCAAGCATTAGTAGGATAGAGCTTTCAATAAAGCTTAACTGCAAAAAAAATTATAATAAAAATAAACTTTTTTAAAAACAAGCTTTTATTCTGAATTTCGAAAGTTTGTATCGCGCATGGAATTTATTCCTCTTTTTCTCTGTTTGCGCTACAAGCTTTCGAAATTCAGAATAAAAGCTTGTTTTTAAAAAAGTTTATTTTTATTATAATTTTATTTTACACTTTTTAGTTATATCTTAATCTCAGGACCCTGGACGTTAACTGGACCAAAGTGCTCGAAAAGACAAATCCAACGAACCCAAACTCGATGAGTTTCCGCCGTTTTGTTTAGGAGTTCCTATGGCCACCTCCCGACTCCATCATCAGACCAGCTCAATGGTACCATAATATTGCACTGTCATCGGACTTACACATGTATGCAAAATTTCAGCTCAATAGGAAACCGGGAAGTGGGTCAATTTTAAGTTGCAAGATTTGACGACAGACACCAGACATGTGAAAGTAATAAAAAGCTTGTAATAAGCTTATCCTTACGTGCTTTATCCTTAGGGCAAAAAGCAACAGTAGCCGTTGAAGCTTTAAATGGAAACTTGTCCACGTTAAGTATAGGATTTTAAAGCCAGTTAGATAAAACCGGTAAAAAGGTTGTACAACTTCCTCAAAGTTTAGTTTTAAAATCTGGTTTGTGTGCTCTAGACTCCGTAAGAGACTTTAGTATTATATTTTTTTATGTAACTAACAAGGAGAAATATGGGAATATCAAGTCTTCCCAAACCGGTTTCCTAGTGTGAGAGATTATAGTCAGTCTATGTAATTGCCTGTATTTGTGTGATGTCCATTGTAATAAATGTATCTTTCTTTCTTTCTT